GGCGCTTTCCGACCTTCCTTATAAGGCGGCCTTTTGGGGATAAGATGGAAATTTTGGCCCAATCTGGGGAGGCTGGTTCGGACGGATGAGCAAAGGGACCCCTTGGGCAAACTTACCGAAGGGGATTGCTATCTTCTCCTGGGGCTTGTTTTTTTTTTGGGCAGTGCTTTTGCAAGCTGGGGCTGGCATGTGATATTTGTGTGTGTGTATGTGTGTGTGTTTTCCCCTCTATGGGCTGTGCCCTGTAGGGATCAGTGGTTCCGAGTGACAACATCCCAGTCATGCACACCAACCAGCTTGGGTTTCCAGGCTGTCCCTTCTCCGGTGAAATATGAACAAGGTGATGCTCTCTCCCCCCTTCTCGTCCCTGGCGTCATCCGTGTCACTGCCTCCCGCCCCCAGATTCCCTCTGCAGTTGGGCTAAGCCCCAAGCCCTGTGATATATAACACAAAGTCGGTTTCTGAACAGATCTTGGCCATATATGGCCAAAGCAAGAGGCTCCTGGCCGTTGCCTGCTGAACCAATAAGTTTTCTTGTTTGGAAGGAAAGGAGGATCTATCTGCCTTCACACTCCCGGCTTCTGCAAGAAGTGCCTCCAGGAAGGGCCAGATTGTGGGATCTTTCAATTTTGCGTGCTCAAATCTTGCAGGGTTCCTGTCCTATTGTATGGGAAGAGTGGTCTGCCTCCTGTCTGGCCCCTTTGAAAAATGGTGGGGTTGGGGAAGAAAAAAGTTTTTAGTGAAGTTTAGCACTCTTGGAAAAAGGGAGGGGAAAATCTCAAAAGGTTGCATCAATGGAGATTCGTCCTGGCAAATGTCAGGGCCAGGGAATCCCCTTTTATGGGAATGACCGGCAGGGAACAGCATGTTTTCCAAACATTTTGGAGCAAAGGGGGAAATCTTTGGAGGGATGGCATCAAAGTGGGGGCAAAGAATCCTTTTACATTTTGGCGACCCCATTCTCTTGTGGATCATCTTCTTGGGGTTGCACACCAATTGTGGGTGGGTTAGTACATCTTCCTCCAGCTCTGCCTAATTAGTCCCTCTCCTTCCCTCGAGGAGTGGGTTCCAGATAAATGGTTCTAGATTAAACCAGACCTGAACTCTTTTTAGAAGCAAAAATGATTCAGTGGTGGCTGTCCTATTATGGGCACCTCATGAGAAGGCGAGACTCCCTGGAAAAGAAAATACGGCTGGGAAAAGTTGAAGGCAGCAGGAAAAGAGGAAAGTGGAATGTGAGATGGATGGACTCCCTAAAAGAAACCACAGCCTTGGGTTTGCAAGAAGACATGAGAAGGGCTGTTAATAAAGGAACCTTCTGGAGGTTCCTAATTCATACGGCTGCCATATCACAACGTCTCCCCTAGTTTTATTCTCTCTTCCTCTGGCAATGTGCAGAGAAAGGTAACCTTGGACCCAGCCTTGGACCTGCAGAGGTTCTTGGACTACAACTCCCAGAAATCCTGGCCAGAACAACTCGTGGTAAAGGCTTCTGGGAGTTGTAGTCGAAAAACCTCTGGGGACCCAAGGTTGGGAACCTCTGTCTTAGATCATCCTCTGCACTGCATCCGAGACTGAAGAAAGCACCGAATTGGCTGCAGGTGAAAGATATTTTTGAGCTAAATGCGAGAGAAGAAAGGAAGGGTTGGACGTCGGGACGCTAGTGGTCTTCTTGCAGAGTCTGCTGCAGGTTGCAGATGTCCCGGCTCTGATTTTCTTGCAGAAAAGAGGGGGTCATGCTTGGTCGCTAGTGGGCGCTTTTTGATGCTGTGAGCTGCTACTGCTCTGGATTGGTGCTTGGGGCCCTTCCCAGTTTGTACCAAGCAGGGCAGCTTCTGCCCAGCAAAGCCTGGGGAGAGCGGGGCCTTAGATGTGAACCTGACTCCAAACGCTTCACGACACACAAAGATTGGGTCATCAACCTTCTGGGGTCCTCAGCAGTCAGAGGGGGTGGGGTGGGAAAGTCAGAGGTTGGCCAAGACCCAGTCAGTTACAGAACCACGAAGTTGGAAAGAGCCTCCAGCGCCATCAAGTCCAACCCTATCCCACTCATTTGTTGTTGTTTAGTCGTTAAGTCGTGTCCGACTCTTCGTGATGCCCCATGGACCAGAGCACGCCAGGCCTTCCTGTCTTCCACTGCCTCCCGGAGTTGGGTCAAGTTCATGTTGGTTGCTTCGATGACCCTGTCCAACCATCTCATTCTCGGTCGTCCCCTGCTCTCCTCTTGCCTTCACACTTTCCCAACATCAGGGTCTTTTCCATGGAGCCTTCTCTTCTCCTGAGATGGCCAAAGGATTGGAGCCTGAGCTTCAGGATCTGTCCTTCCAGGGAGCACTCAGGGTTGATTTCCTTTAGAATGGATAGGTTTGTTCTCCTTGCAGTCCAGGGGACTCTCAAGAGCCTCCTCCAGCACCACAATTCAAAACCATCAATTCTTTGGTGGTCAGCTGCCTTTATGGTCCAGCTCTCACTTCCATACCTTGCTACTGGAAAAACCATAGCTTTAACTATGCGGACCTTTGTCGGCAAGGTGATGTCTCTGCTTTTTAAGATGCTGTCTAGGTTTGTCATCGCTTTCCTCCCAAGAAGCAGACGTCTTTTAATTTTGTGGCTGCTGTCTCCATCTGCAGTGATCATGGAGCCCAAGAAAGTGAAATCTGTCACTGCCTCCATATCTTCCCCTTCTATTTCCCAGGAGGCGATGGGACCAGGGGCCATGATCTTAGTTTTTTTGATATTGAGTTTCAGGCCGTTTTTTGCACTCTCCTCTTTCACCCCCATTAAGAGGTTCTTTAGTTCCTCCTCACTTTCTGCCATCAGAGGGGTATCATCTGCATATCGGAGGCTGTTGATATTTCTTCCAACAATCTTAATTCCGGCTTGGGATTCATCCAGTCCTGCCTTCCGCATGATGTATTCTGCATATAAGTTAAATAAGCTTTCCCAATTTTGAATCAATCAGTGTATCCATATCCAGTTCTGTTTTTTTTAGCCAACGGTAAACCACCCAGAGTAGTGCATCATGCGAATGGAGCAGTATTATTAATCAATCAATCAATCAGTCAATCAGTCAGTCAGTCAGTCACTCAATCATTTTGGTTTGACCCTTTGACTTAACTCGCTTCCATCACAGAGCTGAGCTCCGCGAGCCAGTTCT